GCCCTGGACCTTGGGTCTCGGGAGGAGGCTCACTCCCCAGGACACCAGGAAGCGCCCAGCCTGGGTGGCTGGAAGGACAGCCGCCTCCTGCAGAGCTGGCCAGGGCTGGCTGCTGGCCGTGCTCCCTGGTTCATCCTGGTTCCAGAGCTTCCCTCTTGGGGCAAAGCACTGCACACTCAGGGTGAGGCTGTGGTCTGGGCAGCTGTAGTAGCAGTGCTGACCACAGGACCGCAGGTGCCCAGACACAGAGCCACACCTGACCACCGTGGCGCCCTCTGTCTTGGGGTCCAGCTGTCGGGATGAGGCTTCTGTGCTTGCCACTCTTGGGCTGGTGCCCCCCAGGACTCCACCACGGAGACACGTTGGTGGATTGGCAGCGTCTGCTGCTGGAGAGGGGCCACTCTGTGCCCTGGGCTGGCCACGGCCATCCAGTGTTCTGTCAAGTAGGCGCGAGGACAGACAGAAACGCTGCTTTGACTTACCCCTAAATACACAGAACTCTTAAGGTGGACAGGAGGCTCAAGGCGGTGGCTGTCTGAGTCCCCTGGAGCACATGACACTGGGACCCCTGCTGGGCCAGCTCAGGCTTGTCTGAGGAGACTCGGGACCAGGTCATCCCACACACCCTGACTTGCACAGCTGGGCAGCAAGGCAACCCCTGACCCTGCTCGCTGGCCGATCCTGGCTCACCGGGCTGCGGAGGGGCCTTCCCTGTGATTTCTTCTCTGCCCTTCGACAAGGCTGCTGGACACGGAGCAGCTAAGGGAGGTATCTATTTAGACGCCATATGGAGAGTTGGGGCTTGAAGGGAAGCAAGTGCTATACTTGTATGTTTGTCTGGTGCTGTGTGACATTGGGTGAGTCACCATACATCTCTGGGCTTCCATTTCCTCAGTTTTGAAACCGGTCGGCCCCTTCTGGGAACCTGAGCTTCTGTTAACATGGGACAGCTTCCAGAACAGCAGCGTGGGGTGCTTGCCCTTTTCTGGGTGAGCAGAGAGCGCAGGGACCTGGGGCCAGGAGGGTCACATGAGCGGAGACTCTCCTCCCTGGGAGTGTGGTGGCCCTCCGCAAATGCTAGTGCAACAAAACGACAGATTATGCACAATAAATTCAAAGTAGGTGTCTAGACTAAGGTGCTTTCTCTCCAGGACAAGATGTGCTTAGTCGCCGGCGCTCAGCGCCCACGGGACCCTCGATGGTGGCTTCATGGTGACCTGTGGTTGCTCGTGATGTCACAGGACCCTCTCTTGTCTCCTGCAGGTCATTTCCGCGGTGTCCCGACTGTCCCTGCACAGCATCGCACAGACCAAAGGCATCAGGTGAGCTCCGGGCAGCGCGGAGGGCGGGCCTGGGGTCTCCTCGCCACCTCGTGCTTCATCAGAGACGTGCGTGCGTTGTAAGCGCCGTCCTCTGCCGCGTTGGTGGGGAATTCTCAGTGTGTGGCGGAGCTGCCTACTGGCCGCAGCAGCAGAGGCGTGGAGGAGGGGCCGCAGCCCCACGAGGGGATCTCGCAGCATGTTCCTGACGGCTGCACAATTGCCTTGACTTAGGTAATAAGACCAGCAAATCGATCCTTTCACAGATCATCACGCGCCTAAATGTGCCCTGCGCACAGCAGAGCTGGGACCCTGGTGCCAGGGAGGCCGCTGGGGAGGGTTTGCAGGGATGGCCTGGCCACATGTGCTTGCCCTGGACGGGCCTCTGAGGCCCCCGAGGGACCGCTGCACTCTCGGGATAATTCTGTCAGACCTGCCTGGCCCGTCTCAGATACGAGAATGGACCCCAGGGCATGGGAGGGGCCGGGCAGCCCTGGCTGTCGTGATCGCTGGCTCCCATCTGAGGGTCAGGGAGGTGGTCTCCTTGGGGATGGGGTCCAGGTCTGGAGGGGACATATGCAGGGCGGGCCTTCCTGGGGGTCGCCTGAGGACACAGGCCACCAGGGTGAGATGAGACTGGAGTGGCAGGAAGAGCCCCTCGTTAGATCCCCGTGGGCGGGTCACACCTGAGAGTGACACCGAGGGGAGAGGGCCTCGAGCACAGTGGTGTCCTGGGCACAGTGTCCTGAGGCTGGGGTCCTGAGACTTGTGTCGGGTGTGGGCTCAGGTGCCGAGCCCTGGAGCAGGTGGAATGTGCTGGGGAACCTGGGGCCATCTGCCGCCCTGGGTTGGCAGAGCACTTAGCTGTTTCTTTGAC